GCTCCCTTCCTTCTGCATCCTTTCAAGCTTCATGCTCGCTGCCAAGGCCCTCAATCCTTACTGCCCATGAGAGGGGAGGGGAGGGCAAGAGAGTACATCATTGCCTAGCCCATAGTCAGACCATGAGGTCACTAGCAACTGTAAATATTGACTGCCCCTGGGTTAGATGTCCGCTCAGACCATGTAACATATGGCTGCCTTGGGCTGCTCCTGCTGCAGGGCCGGTGGGAGCAGTGGGTAGTACTGAATGTCTAACGCCAGGCTAATGATGATATTATTTTAATACTATAATGCCTCCTTCACAGGACTGCCATTAAAACCTAAATTAGTAATAATAGCTACCATTTATTAAATATCTACTATGTGCAATTTTGGGGGAGACAGTTGAACCAACACTTGAGCATACATGTCTTTTTCAGTAAAGAAATGGGACGATAAATGAACACCCTTTCTGTGAAGCAGCAGCTGATTCCTTCTCTGGTTTCCAGGGCATGCTTTCTCCAGGAGTGACGTTAATGACCAAGAGCCTTCACGTGATGGATGAAATCCTTGGAGCTGCGTGCTACTCTTGCCTGATGGTGCAGCCTTTGTGGAATATTCTCGCCTCCTGCTGCCTCATTCACCCCTGTCAGCCTTCGTCTTCTCATCCAGGACCTTGCTTGTACTCCGCAGCGAGCACACAGTTTCTGCCTCAAACTAATCTCATTATGCAAGAGCTGTTCTCGTTGGGCCTTATCTGAGCTAATGGCATGACCAACTTCCCTACCACGCTATTTTAAAAACAGGAACAGTGACTTGATGGATACAGGAGTATTCCTAACATACCTCAGAAGGCAGGAAGGACCACCTCTCATCTATTGTCACCTTTTTCATTCTTCCCCCCTCTTTCCTTCAGAAGGAAAACTACATGACAGGACTCCTATGGAAGGGGAACCACTACAAGTTAACCAGGGAGCTGAAAGCCCACACGGGCACAGCTCTGGAGCCCTCATGCTAGGCTTTCAAAAGCCTGTAATTAGTTTAGCCCCATAAGCACACCCATATTGGGTTTGGGGGCACTTCTATACATAAATTCACTTTTCTTTCTTGCTTTGTAGAATGTAGCACACTCACACAAGAAAGTGGGAGAGGCATTCACTGCAGCCTGGAAACCAGGGTGGGCCACAGAACATCACCATGAAGCACACTAGATGATGACGACCATTCTCTTCTTAGCAGCTAACCAAGGTTATTTCATAACGCATGTGCTGAGTGTACAGCTATGTGGTTCAAGGTACTAATTTTAAGTTATACATAAACTGGCTATTATAGAACAAAATGGTGTGTTCTAACTAGGTGTTACCTACCCTGTGAAGTCTTTGCTTAGTAAAAAAATAAATAAATAAAACAGTGGAGATATAACATGCCTGTTAATTTCCATCATTATGTTCTCAGAAGAGACAAATTCTTCTACTTGAGTCCTTTTAAACCTGCTGTGGGTATGACAACTACAATCAATCACTCTGTGACTATCAACTCTCTGGTTTTTTTTTTTTTCCTTTTTGTCTTTTTTCGTGTCCGGCAACGGATCGCAACCCTCAGTGTCGCGACTGTACCGGACTGGGACCGGCAACGGGATCGCAACCCTCGGTGTTGTGCCCGCACCTTGCTCAGCCAGTGAGCAGAAACCGGTCTGTATGTGGGATCCAAACCCTCGGCGGGAACGCCGCCGTGCTCCCAAGCGGCACACTGTAGCAGTGCGCCACCGGGCCGGCCCAACTCTCTGGTTTAAAAGGAATGTTTCTCATCCCAAAGTAAGTGATCCAATTTTGTAAAGAAGTGAAACTAGACAAAACCCTTGAATGTTGTGGGTGACGATGTCTTAGGCAGCATCTTGTAATATTTCAAAACCATTCTCTCAAGAGAAATTGAAACTGTTTGGGGGGGAAAATTCACATTTTTCTTCTCTTTTCTTCCCCCCCCACCCCAGCTCAGGTGACTGGACAATGTCTCTGTCTATAGGACAAGAAGGCCCCAGATCCCATCTTGACACAGCTTAGCCTATAAGAGACTAACATTCAAATGGATATTCTGTGGTCTTTTTCTGAAAAATCTTTCAAGCTGGCAAAAAACTGTTCCATTAATAAGAGGTCATATTTCATCCATAAAAAAATTTATCACATTGGAAAGAGCATCCTGGTATTAAGATGTGAATTTAGATCAGCATAAAATTCTGAGCACATTTATGGGAACTTTTCATTACTTCCTAATTTCTAAAGTTTCCTTTAAGCTGTCAGATTTGACTAAAACATTTTAGTGAATAAGATAAACATATCTTTAAAAAAATTTAAGTTATTTTAACCTTCAAGACCTAAAGAAATACCATACTGTAGAAATATGAGGGACGTATACTACATAGAAGGAAATATGTACTTAGCTTTTTTTTTTTTTTTTTCTCCAGAAAAGAACACATTTAGGTATTGGGCTAGTTCCTACTGAAAATTATAAATTCAGAGACATATTAATGTGTCATTACCCTTTAAAAGCACTTAATTTACACCCAGTCTTGATAAGAGTTACAAAATACCACAAGAAACCTGTTTAAGAAATTAAAATTTGGCAAGCCAAAAAGGATTAACATTTCCTGTCAGTGAAATGAGAGAAAAAGGCATTCAAGGTAAAAAGGTACAACATTACAGCTAGATAGGAAGAATAAATTCTGGTGCCCTAGGGTGACAACAGCTAATCATATTGTATAGTATATTTACAAATAGCCAGAAAAGAGGATCTTGAATGTTATAACCACAAAGAAATGATAAATGTTTGGGCAATAGATATACTAACTTTTCTGATTAGGTCATAATATATGCATGAATTGAAACAAACTGTACCTCACAAACATGTACAACAAAAAAATAAGAAAAATTAAAAAACCCAACAAATTAAATTAACTTCAGCTGAGCCTTCCATTTTGACTACATCCTAAACCCAGCACAGAAGCAAGCACAACCTCAGCTAATGCATCTTCGGTGTCCACATGTCCCCCATCCCCCCAAGAGCTTTGAGGGTTTGTGCTTGGGCAGTCTTGTGATCTGAAGTCCTGGTGCCACATGGGTCCTTCAGGGAACAATGGATTTTCTCTTTAAACTTTGCTTTCCTTTAAGACAAATGAAGCAGAGCTCTTCTAATGAATGGAGAACATTTTTTGAGTTTCCAGTTCAGCAAAACAGGAGTTGTTAGACATCCAGCGAAACGCTCTGATCCAACATTTGTGCTGTTTGGCAACATTGCCTCAGTGCTGAGAAATTGGGTCAGTAAATGTTTACTAGTGATAGCAGCCTTAATGATCACCGTAGTCATCATTACCTGTGTTCTAGCAGTTAAAAGAATAAGAGAGGTCAGAAACTAAGCTGTATGTTTATTTTTAGAGAATGGGAATTTTAAAACTCAAGTTTAGTGGAATTCATTAATTTCTTTTAAAATAAAAAAAATTTTTTTTTGGTCTCTGGACTCATGAGCCAACCCGTAATACCAGTAGCAACACTTTAAATTTTGAGATGATCGTGGATTTAATAAAAAGGAACAAGCATGTTATTTCACCACATCTGAACTATCAGTAAGTTTACTAGAGTCTACCACTGTACCTTTTAAGATGAATCACATGCATTTTTGACTGTTTGTGCACAAATATCTAAGTGTAAGACTTAGTGTTTAAAGCCCAGAACTGTGGTTACTCAGGGGGTGAGGTGGAGGTGTGGGGGATAGTGAGAGGTCGGTTAATGGACACAAAACGGCCAAATATGAAAAATAAGTTCTATGGATGTACAGTTGAGCTAGGCAGCTATAACTAACAATAATTTACTGCATGTTATCAAATGGCTAGAACAAAGGTCAGATGTCCTCATAACAAAGAAATGATGGTTCTGTAATGATAAGTATGTTAATTATCCTGATTTGATCACCACACACTGTACAAATGTATTGATATTCAACTCTGTACCCCACAAACATGTATAATCAATACATTTCAATAAAAAAAAAAAGAACAAAAGCCCCAGGGTTGGTGAATTAAATGGGACACTGTGCTCTGAGCATGCCATTTCACAACTTAGGTAAAGGCTGTGACTTCCTGCGACTTCCTGTGCAGGTGTACCCTTGGGAGAAATGCACGTAGACAGAGGAGCATGGAGGAGCATGGTAGTGTCTCTGTTTTCTGTTATCTTCCCACTTTTCTCTTAATAGAAAAGAGCCTGAAAGGCAAGTGGATGGAATAGTTGCCAAAGGCTAGTATAGAAACAAAACTGGCCTCTGGGTGGTGCTTGAGAGCAGTTTAGGGAAGGCTGGCACCCTTCAGGGTGAAAAGGGTATTAGCTGAACCTCAGTCACCTGCAGGCTCCAGGGTAGTCTTCAAGGGACGGTTGCCTGTCTATAGTCTCCACAGGTGGCACACTGGGCCAGTTTTAATGCATCGCTTTTTTCCACTTATTCCTGTGCCTGTAAGTTTGGTATTCCATTTATAGAGCTTGTCAATAAATCATCACTGCTTAGTTAAGTCAACAAATAAGGGGGCAAAACACACTTCTTCAAAGAGCTTTTGCCAGTTGAGTCATTCTTCCACAAAGCTTTACTTAGAAACATCTGCCTGCTCCTCCCACAGTTTCCCATTTGCCCATAACCGTCTCGACCAGCTGGAGCAGGCTGGACCTGTGAGTGGGAGCTAGGATTTTGTTTGCTTGCTTGCAAGTAGAATGTTTCTAAAGGGAATGTTTTAATCTTCATTTAGAAAAACTTTTTTTTGGTAAAGTTTAAAGATATTACAGCTGCTAAATTTGATATCAAATACTAATCTGTAACTCCTGTTCAAATATTTGCCATCAATAAAAACAGACACCCCCTCTCCCTGTGTAAATCTTAAAATGTGGGTAAGATGGTGAATCCACACTAATCTCCTATTCACATGCACATGCTCACTGAAAAGGGAATCTGTAGCATAATAATTTAAGAATCTAGATCGAGGCAGATTTTAACATATATATATTTTTTTATTAAATATGTAAAAAGATCAACGCAAGTCAAGTTATTCACATATTCAGAGACAAAAAACTATTCTACCATGCGACAATAGGTGGGTAATGTAAAATGAATGTGATACATCTGAATAAGACTTTTTCATCTATTATGTCATTACTTATCTATATTTATAATTAACAATACATATGTTTACATTCCTTTCAGTTTACATTTAATACATAACGAAAGCTTTATGGTATACTATTTAGTAAAAGTAATCTGAATGCATATTAAACCTTAACGGAATAATGGAAATACTCACCAGGGAAGGGAGGAATTCTTGGTTCCCTTCTGGAGTTTACTTCTCTCAGAACAGGGTGTTTGCCTTTTTTTTTTTTTTTTTCCCCTGCTTTTCTGCTTAGAATGAACACAGGCTTTCTCTTTGCCCCCTGCTTCGATCACTTCCTATCTGACAGTAGCAGTGGGTGTGCTATTACCAGCCAGCGGGCCTGAGGGGGGACTAAGAGTGAAACACACCCAGGGATACTTGTCAGCCCAGCATGATGACATGCTGAGATGAGAGGACGGGGGCCCACCATCCATCGGAAATGAGTGGTGGTCTGCACAGAGACTGGTGGTATGGCCCAAGAGAACTGACAAACCCAGCTGCTAAAGATTCCACAAAGCATCTGTGATGTCACCTGGGGTGCAGCATAACAGAAGTAGTTTAAAATGGGGACAGGGAGGAATTTATAGCTCTTCTCTAAATAAATGTACAGTTTGCCCCAAACTTCCAGGAAGGAGAATGAAGTATGGTGAGTGGGGAAAGTTCTCTTTGCAGGCAGCCTAAGATGTCTCACCAGCAGCTGTATTAGCTGAGGAGGTCGGGGAGTGGTTCCAGCAAGAGCCACTGGGGAGGCTTACACAAGATATAGTATTAAGTGGTTTCTGGAGGACCCTGACCCCCTGCTACCCGTCACGTGCATGCACATGACAGGAGTTTGGTCATGATCCACCTGGTACTGGATATTACTGAGATGTCCAGGGCAGGCAAAGAACGGCCTAGGAACCACTGAAGTAGCGGCTGCATAGAGTTATTTATTGTGCCTCTTTATAAGAGCTTTTTTAAAAAAAGAAAATCAGTAAGTACAACAGGCTTAGAAGGCAACACACCATTGAGCATGATGCTGTGTATAGCACAGCCACTACCTGTAACCAGGCGTGGGAGGATGTCACTGCCGAGAGCCAGGCTTTCCAGCCTTAGAGAAATGAGCTGCCGCCAGAGTGCAGAGTGAGCAGGAGAGAGAAGGAAGGGAAACCAAACACCACAGAACATCTGTCCAATTCTGCACAGTGTGTTGTAATAATCTCAAAAATACAAGCCATCTTTTTCCACATATAACTCAATAAATACCACTTTGCAATGAAAGATTTATTTGGGAAAGACTTCTTTTGGTGAAGAAAGAAAGACTTCTTTTGGTGAAAAGCTTCACGGCTAGAATTTAGAATTAGGATTTCATCAATTAATAAAGAAATTTCAAAGCTTTATGATACGTAATTCAGAAATTTATTTTAAGCTTTTCAGTTAAGCGGAAAGTGGGGTGGGCACATTTGTTTGTTTCTGTTGCATCTGCTCAGTCAAATAACAAGTGAAAGTAAATGTGAAGTTAGAAATCAAGTGAAATGAAAGATCTAGGAGGCGATACCATCTGTCAAAGGAAAATAAAAAGAGGCAAAGATTTGGAAAGAGACTAAGAAAATGTGCAAATATTAGTTAAAAAAATAAGGAATGCTTTTAATTCATTAATGTTTCCTCTCTATGAATTGCCACGGTTTAGCAAAGGTCAATGACAAGGAGGGCCCTTGAGTTAAGAGGGGAAATTCCTTATTCCGGAAGATAATGGGAGTCATAGATTACTCTGTGCTGTTACTCCAGTGTCAGCACCAGACCGCAGAACCATGACTCTCCCTTGCAATTATGCCCTTATTAATAAGGTCTTCACATCCAGCTTTCTAGCAAGTGTGCAGCATGATGCAGAACCCTGGAGCCTGGGGCTGCACACCCCGCAGTTATCCTTCAGTAGGAGTCCCCTAGCGTGAATGACAGGATCTGGGCTGAAACCCACACAAGGAGGAAGAGGAAGGAGACAGGAGGACCTGTACCTACCCACACCCCCTTTGGACTGCAGATAACTGATAACAACATCTTGGGGAGGGTGGATGCCCACCGAAGAGGACCCTGAGAAAGAAAATAGCATGAGAACCAGGGGAGAGGGGCAGGAGGGCAAAGCTGAGATGGTGTTTTCCTTGAGTGAATGTCTTTCAAAACTAAGAACATACTGTGTGGGTGTCTAACGTGCTTATGTATGGACACTGCTGGGCCCTGAAGTCCTAGTTTTGAATCCATTTTTTTTTGTCCCTTTAGTGTTGTGAGTAGAGGGAGAAACGACCTTGTGTTTTTCCCCATGACACAAGTCACTGTCATTATGGCTTTCATATCAAGTATCTGCTTCCCTTTGTTCCAATTATTTGACCAAATTTATGTTCAGAAGTTAGACTTGCAAACATCAAAGCACCACAAATGCGTGTGACAACTAGTGACACTGGGTTGAGAAATGCCAATATAAATACCATATATCAAATTACCATTGCTTCACACCAGGATAAAAAGGGTGGTGGTGGTGGTGTTGGGGTGGGGAAGAGTTGTTCTGGAAAGAAATGAAGAAAAGAGCAGAACCAATCTCAAGCAGCCAGTGGTGAAGTTGAAGGTATGTGACCTACGATCTCTCAGGGAGGTGGCCGGGACTGCCGGCTGCTACTGCATCTTGGCAAAGGAAATGGGAACCGAGCGCGGTGGCTGGCGTAAGTGACAGTGCATTGATGGTAACGGCAGACCGGGAACAACTGGTTTCTGTTGAGCTTGAGGCCACACATGTTCCAATTTTCCAGAACAAAAGTTCCCACGTATAATGGAAGTGTCAAGAGCGGCCACGACGGCTCAGTACTCCTCCTGCTGCTGCGGCTGCTGTTCGTGGGTTTGCTCCTCTGCTTCCGCCTCTTCCGTGTGGCCCTCCTGTGGGGCAGGGACAAGTTTCAGCTGAAGCAACGACTGCGTATGAGGCCCTGGGTGTCCCAGCCCCCTGTCCCTGCATGGCATGAGTGTCAAGGCTGGGGAGAGCACCCGGCTTAGGCACGACTCGTCATGCTGATGTCTCCCAGCTCCTGGGAGCCACTACGCAAGGGACACCTCAGCTTCCCTGTGCCAAAGAAGGAATCATTCTAGAAAGCACAGTCAGCAGGCTTTATGTGCCACACTTTTCTTCTAACCATTTTGGAAGGAAACGGTCATAGAACACATTACATACCTTCCTACCCTCTGTAGAAGAGTAAACCGAACCCAGTGACTCAAGAGCATCCTGACAACCATGAATGACCCTGCTGGGACATAAAGCAGAACCCAGGTCTCTGTGGCATGTGGCAAGGCTCCCGCTACCCCCATGCCATGCTGCAGCACTTCTGCTCCATTTCCTGTTCCTCCCCTGCTGTCATTCTTCTTGCTGGTGGTGTCTGCCTGAAGTAGACCCTTGTTATAATTAGGACATAAAGCAGAACCCAGGTCTCTGTGGCATGTGGCAAGGCTCCCGCTACCCCCATGCCACGCTGCAGCACTTCTGCTCCATTTCCTGTTCCTCCCCTGCTGTCATTCTTCTTGCTGGTGGTGTCTGCCTGAAGTAGACCCTTGTTATAATTTGTTCCTCATCTGATGTAGGCTTAGACACCAGAGGAGCAACTTGCTAGTGTTTCCAAGGGTAAGGAAAGGATCAGAGCCACACTTCACGAGCTGCTCTGGGCATGGAGGCCCCTCCCAACAGCGCAGCTCAGGAGCTTTAGCTCATGGACTTTGGGACATCCATTTAGGGTGCTTCAGGCCTTTTCTGTTACTTTCTATTTACTAACCATGAACCAGACAGGGGAAGTGCTCCTCTACATGGCTCCCTGTGTCCTATATATTCATTTGCCTGGCCCAGCGAGGCACATCACCAACACCAACTGCAGGAGCATCAACCTTGGTTAGCCGCACCTGCAAAGTCTTTCATGTTTTGACCTCACATAGACTAATTTGCCCCTTATTACCCAAGCAGAGGGAGCATGGCCAGTCAACAGCAGCTAACTGCCCCCCCCCCCAATAATGGTGCAAGTCTTTTGTGATGTGGTCTAGGGCAGTGCTTGCATCCCCTCACACTTGGCCCACCGACTCCTTCCTCTCCTGGGCCCTCCCCTTCCTGTCTGGCCCCAATTCTCCATGGATTACTGACAAACCTGTCAGTAATCCAACTCAAATACAGTACAATCATCTCCCCAGATCCCTAAGCCAGAATTCCCTCCTCTCCTGCAGCACGTTTTTCCTTCCCGTGCTATAAAACTCTGACTTGCAATCTTGTCTGTCTTGGAACTTTTGGCCTCACCCACTGGACCCTGTGGCTACTGAAGTCGGGCACAGGGCCTCATTCCTCTCCATGTCATACCTCGTTTACTGCAGAACTCAATCAGTATTGTGTTGAGAAGAAGAAATCACAGAAGATTCAAGAATGATGACCAAGACTATCAGACTATCAGCCAAGGTTACATGCTGTTTATTTTCTGAGAAGCAGGAGAATGTCAAGGTTATAAGCATAGACTCTGGAGTTCATGCCCCAGCTCCATTATTTACAAGCTGTGTGATTTTGGGCTCACAATTTAATTGCTCTGTGCCTCAGTTTTCTCACTTGTGAAATGGGGGATGTTAAGAATGCCCACGTAACAGTTTCCCATGCATTTCACTGATCACCGAATCAATGGATTCAATGAATCCGACAGAGGATTTAATGAGTTACAATAGATTAAGTGTCTAGAAGAGTGTGTGGCACATAGTAAATATTATAAATGTGAGCTGTGATTATTTTTAGTGGGAGAACTCATATTCTAGAAGTGCACATAATTTTAAAAAACAGTAACCCTTTCTGTGACTACCAACAGTAGGAAGTGACATTGTATTAAGAGACTCGGGATCTAATCTAGTACTGTCCCTTACTGGCTCTGTGCCAACAGGTGCATTATTTAATAAAGTCGAGTTCTCCCCACCCCCATGACCACACTGTCACCACCCTGAACTGCTCCACACCTGGAATGTTAAGGCCCGCTCTACTCTCTCTGACCACATCATACTGTCTGTCTGACTCTGCTTCACTCCTTCATTGTAGATACCCTTTGACCTCAGGGAGACCTCACAGCCCTGAGCCCCTTTCTACTGTCGTTCTGTTACTAGACATCTGTTAGTAGACATCGCTGCAGCTGCACTCCTGGCAGTATCCTCTGCAAACTGCTTTGCCCTCTGCTTGGCACATGTGAGGGTGGTTCTCTTGGCTCAAAAAGTTAGCGCTGCCGCCGAGAGTGGCACTCTCATGGGGAGGGAGAGAATTGCCAGCTGGGACGGTGCAGGACAGGAAAGTCACTGGCCTCCCTCAGTAAGTGTTCTCTTGTCCAGGGGAAAAGGAGGAAACTAAGCTCTTGGGAGTTGAACAGGAACAGTGGACTGGGGACTCCCAGCGGTCTGTTCTGCCACTTGCTCCTCCTCTAAGTTATAAAAATGCCACTCCTCCCTGACGCCTTGCTCACTGCCTCTGCCCCTCAAGTCAAGGCTCCTCTTTCGAAGCTCTGCATCCTTGGCCCTTGCTGGCTGGAGGCTGTGCCACCCCTGGCTGGCTACACTGTGCCTGGTTGGCTGCACATCTGCCTCTCCGGCCACTGGGCTCCAAGCCCCAGCAGGTTACGGATGCTGTTTTATTCATCATCCTAGCTCGCTAAGGCTAGCGTGGTGTCTTCCATGCTGGACACTCCAACTAGAGCCGGTCTGGAGTACGCTTTGCTTACATACCTGTTTTTGTGAATGTGAGACTGCTGAAGGAAAAATCTCAGAAATGAGGATCTGTTTCCCATTTTACCGAGAATCTCATTAGCTCACGTCACAACTGGGAGTTAATTCCGTTATCCCAGAACTTAAAATGGAAAGACCTGGATTCAAGTCACTGAGCCTGTAACAAACTGTGGGACCAGGAAGCCACTAGAACAGGCTTCCTCAGGCCTCCTTTCCAAACATGTCAAACAAGGGGGTTGGTTCATTGCCCTTGTCTATGGCTCTGTGGTCTCCAGCTGGCCAAGAGCAGCTCCCCACGCGCACTGGGCTGAAGTCCCAGTCACAGGACACCACCAGTGATGTCATACATCTGCGGGAACTGCAGACCCCAGACCACTCTTACTGGGCAATGCTGGCATAAAAAGCAAGCCTCCAAGTTGCAAATGGCTTGCTAATGCTTGGGGTGCGAGTCAAGGCAGCCTGGAAGTCTGGCAGAACACACGTGTCATTCTGAGATGTTCCATATCACAAGGGAGAGCTCCCAGCCCACACAATGCTATTATAGGCTCACAGGAAAAAAGAAAAAAAATCGATCTTTTTCTTATGCCCCATACAAGAATAAAGAACTTAAACCCATGTGTAAGGCCAGGCAAAACCTAAGCCAAATACGGGACTAATGTCCTGGAGTTGCCACCTACTTCATTAATTCTAATACCTGCATATCAAACCATCACATCTCCCTAAACATTTAGCTGTGACTACATTATAGTTCCTTATTCTTATTATAATCATTAGAAAGAGAAGCAAGGTAGAAGACAGTACCGAAGAAGGCTCCCCACACTGTGGGTGGAAAAGGGGGGAGGAAGAGAGGAGGGGACACTGAGGAGCCGCCGTGGCTCCCTGCTTCCTAGGCGAGGGAGGGTCCCCAACAGCTGGCTGTTCTTTCTTCTCTGCTCTGTTCATGCCATTTCCTCTGCCTGAAAACTGCTGGCTTTCTGAGTCATCCTTAGATATCCAACACGAATGCCATCTTCGCTGTCAAGTCTTTGCTTGTTCCTCCAGGCTGTCCCTATGTGTTCCCTACACAAGTCTATTTGTGTCTCCTTCACATGCATTTGCCACAATCTGACACATGTTCCAGTTACTGGTGCCCCTGTCTGTCCCCTTCACTGGGATTGTGAGCTCTTCTGAGTAGGGGATGTGTCCTTTTCTGTATACCCAGTGCTTAGTCTAGTGACAGAAACACAGCTGTCTCCAAAAAGCATTGAGAGAGCAAGAAAATCTTTAGGCCATTTTAACAGTGGCTTCCATGACAGTAGCTCAGGAAACAAGCAAGTGTTTATAAGACGATGCACCTTAGCTGACAGAATCCACATTCTGGAGCAGGTAGCCAGTGAGTAAGCCAAGATACCTGTGGCCCCAAGGTAAGTATTAAGGGAAAAGACACTGAGAATAACAAAGGGAGACACTGGACAGCTGGCTGGTGATCTTCTCTGGAAACTTCCATCAGGTTTCAACAACTGGAAACTGAACCACCTCTGTTGACTTCCCTATTCACAAAACTCCCATCTGGACTTTTACATCTTCCAAATATCATATTCGGGGGTTACTTGACTATAAGAATCAGAGACCAGCTGCCACCAAATAAAAGCGCTAAGTCATCGCTTAGGGAAGGAGATCCCCTCCAGCAAATACCCCTCCCTGAAATGTGAGCGCATGTTCATCCACGTTTAACTGACGAGCTCAGCCTCGATTCTTCAGCACCTCTCCTGCCTCTGGGAGGGCTCTGGGAAAGCCAGACGACCAGAAATCTCCACTGTCTTAGATTTGTACACACAGCCACCCCAAGAGCATCGTGAGCAAAGTACTAACATTTCTTCCTAGACACTGTGGTCATACCGGCACTCGGGTGCAAATCTACCCGCCTCCCAAGTGTAGGAACGGCCTGAAAACAGGACACACATGTTGTCAGGGTCAAGCAGTGGGGCGAAAGGAGGACTACTGGAGCTGGGGGCAGATGTACAGTGACATCGCCACTACTGAGCACATTTTTTCAAAAGTGATGCCTTTCCAGATCAGGAGACCCCAGGGAAGGTGGGCAAGGGTGGAAGCTTTTTTAAGGCTCACTTCCCCATGGTAAACCTGGCTCTGCTTCTGGGAGGCTGCCATAGCAACAGGAGTCACTATCCTTCGGGGGGGGGTGGGAAAGGCAAATGCTGGAAGCCTTTAAGGTATTTACGTTGGTTCCTTGAACATCTAACAGGAGGAAGCAGAAGGGAGTAGGCTAGCTGCTGCTGGCGTGTGCATGTGCAGTACCATCTATGGGAAGCACCTTGCACAGTGCTCAGGCCCACAGAAGTCCTCCCTTTCTGTACAAAAACCAAGGTTTAAAAAATTGGGTCTTGTCACATTCTAAACAAGGACACCTGGCATACTCCAAATCAATGACTTATTCTCTGTAGAAAACTCAGTATAGCCTGATGTGTCTCTCATGGAGTTTTTCAGACACAAAATTGCAATAAAATTTATCCTGGAACTATAAAAATTAAGCCAGTAATTATTTTAGAAGATTTGGCTCTGGTTACCCACACACAGAGTTTATGTTCGGTTTATTTTCTCTTCTTGTCTCCCAATCGCCTGGTTACTCTAAGTAATCATCTTCCTGCATTTTGGATACTCCGTACCATACATTTACAAGGCGATGCCGCTTTCTCTCCCTCTCTTTCCCCTACTGTATTTCTATTTGATGACATTAGCAGTGCCAGGGATCTAACAACAAAGGTAGGTTTAGAAAAGTTAGCAACCAGCCAGAGGAAAACCAAAGTTCTCCATGCATGCTGACTTAAACATGGATGCCCAGAGAAAGAGGCCAAGACAAGACTTTGGGAGGTATAAACCAGCAAAATGAGATAAAGAGATTATTTGGAGAAAATCTAGGTAGTAATTTAACAACTAACTTCTCTACACGCAGAGCATGTTCAACTGAAGACTGTCAAGTAGACAGTCTGTCTTGAGGTTTTCCCCAGGCGGTAGTACCTTTATCTTCTCCCTCCCCCATGGCACCCAATATGCCAAGAGAAAGGTAACACTGTCCTTAGGATTTGGGGCCCCGAGTCAGATAAACCTGAGTTCAAATCTAGTGCTAGAGCTTATTGACTGTGGATTGCTGGGCAAGTAATTTCACCTGTAAAACACAGATAAGTAACAGTACCCACCTCATAGAGGCGAGGATAGAGAGAAACGTGTCAGAACCTGAATACCCAGCACGTACTAAATGCTCAATCCATGTTAGCTGTCGCCGCTATAATGGTCCCATTTAAAAGGTGGCTCAGGCGTGGAGAAACGAGAGCATGGACTCGGGACTCAGACCCGAGGTTCAAATGCACATGCTGCTGCTCACAACCTGGGGAAGGTATTTGACCTCTCTACTGCCTTAGCTTCCCTCTTCTGTAAAATGAGATGACAATATCTACTTAATAGGATTCTGAAGAGAATTAAAGGAGCAATATACATAAAGCCCTAGGCCCTTCCCTCTGAAACCCCATCCCACTAAACCCATTATTCAGTCTTAATGACTGATGAGGCTTTAAAGTATTACTTCCCTCTGGGGTGTCTGCAGTTTAATTGCTCATTCACTGCAGGGAGGGCAGCCAGGTGGTGCTGGGGTGTGCCTGTGTGTGGGGGTTGATGGGAAGGGTACAACAGAAGCTGTGTGTGGTCATCTAGCCTAAAGCTGGTCAGCCTACCCTTAGCCAGGAATTCAGCAGCCCACGCCAGCTCTTCATTTTGGAGTTCACCTGATGGTGTTCCACAAGGACTGCCTCTTGGGACGGGATCTGGCTGGAAGTGCAGGGCTGGGAAGCAGATTTGATCCCGCACGCTAGCCTTACTCCCGCTAGCAGACGTCACCACAGACAGCAGCACCTTCAGTCTGAGCGAATGGATGCGCAGACCTCATCTGATTTAGCCTCGAACAGTTCATGGATAACCACGGTTTATCTAGTGCTCGACAGACTACAATGCACGCTGTACATACAGCACATATGTACATGCCACTTTGGTGGGCGCAGACACACAAGACAGCCTCTGGTTTCTTCCATCAGATCTGAAAATACTGAGAACTTTATTTTGTGAAGCCATCATGGCCTCAGTGACCTAACCAGGTGGATTCCTGGGGCTTCAAAATTTACATTCTGAGCTACTGCTAGCCAACAAAGTAGTTAAAAAAAAAAAAAATCTAGGGGAAATGAAAAAAAAGTGAAGAGCTCCCCAACCCCAGACTTCCTTACAGTTCAGGAAAATTTCGTTGCTGTGATTTTAAGTCATAAACAGAGCAAGAACCTGCCTGGTATTCAGGTGGAATAAGAAAAGGAAACCTGCTGATGGCTTGTCACATTCTGCGGTAATACAAACCCTCATGTAACCCCGCCACAGAGCCGTCGGAGCATCCGCAGGCCTCCGGGTCCAGGAGACCCCAGTGCTTCCACCAGCTCTGGCCTGGCATAAGCAGCTCAATGCCCTGACCCCACATCTCACCTCCTATAACCCGGCTCTGGAAGGGGAAGTCCCAGCGGGCTCTGCTCCTGCCACCGGGACATCTCCCTCCTGGCAGAGGAGACTTGATGTGACACACCTCGGTCTCTGCCATTTACCCTGCCCCTTCCCCTCCTTGCTTCTTGAGATTCTTGTTCCCTCCCCTGTCCCTCACATCTGCCTTTCATCACCCTGACAGAGCCACATCTGGGGTCTCCCCCAGCACTTGTGAACAGCTACGATGGTGGCAGGTCTTCCCTACACAGGGGACCTTGTAGAAGTGTTCTCAACAAAGGGCTGTCCCACAGTTCTGGTCTGTCCTGGCAATAAGCAACCAAGACAACCAGCTACGAAATAAAAACAGACAATCGTGGGGCATCTAGATTATTTTCTCCTTTAACCACACTCTGATCTTCCATGAAGAAAGAAGAATCCTTATATGAATTCTTACTCTCATTTGTTCAGGGAGATGAAAACCACTTGGGATTTCACTGCTCAAGTGTATTTTTCTCAAAGCTCCCCCCAACGCCCCTGGATTAATTTCTGAATGCATGTCCCATAGGCATGGGCCAATGGGTCACAATGATGACATTTATTCCTTTGGGAATATCAAAGGCACTTAGCTGAGCTGTAACTCCCACAGGTCCCAGGAAAGAAGTCCCACACTGATGTACTGCACTTTGATCAAGAGTCATCTTAGAACATGGAGTCAGGGCTCTTCACACTTACGTGTTCTTCTGAAGCATAGAGGACTTCCATTAGTCGCTGCACGAGGTCATCATTTTCCTGCCCATGTTCTTGGCAGAGTAGCTCAATCTCTCTCAACTTCCCAAAGTAGAAATCCCTTTCCTTTTCCACACCTTCAAGGGCAAGTTTTAATGAATGTACCTGAAAGGGAGTGAGGGTAGAGAAGAAAAACCTTAAAATATAGTGTAAAAAATAAGTGACCAACGATGTCTGTGTATAAAGACCCAAAACATATAAAGACATGTGCAGAAATAACCCATGTGCAAGTCTGTGGGGGAAACAACAGGGCTGTTATCCTGAGCTTGAGCCTGGGCCAGAATGTCCAATCTCAACAGCACACAAGTCATTTCCTTCAGTCAAGTGAGGGTTTATTATTAAGATCATTCCGCTTGCATGATCCCACCCGGCTGGGAGTAAGCTTTCCTCTCCTGCTAATGTGGGCTGGAGCACATCTTTCTCCTAACTTGTTGCTGAGGTCTGAGAATTTGTATACCTCCCAAATTCATATGTTGAAATCCTAATGCCCCAATGTGATGGTATTAGGAGGTGAGGCCTCTGGGAGGTGACCAGGTCATGGTGTGAGCCCTTGTGAATGGGATCAGTGCCTTTATAAAAAAGGCCCAAGGGAGCTGCTCATCCTTCTGGCATGTGAAGACACAGGGAGAAGGCACCATCCATGAGGAATGGGTCCTGGCGTAGACACCGAATCTGCTGGTGCCTTGATCTCGGACTTGCCGGCCTCCAGAATTGTGAGAAATACATTTCTTTTTTTTTTTTGTCTTTTTTCGTGTCCGGCAATGGACCGCAACCCTCAGTGTCGCGC